TTTTTTTTCATTTAATTTACATGGTGCCTTGTTTTTTTAATAACCTTTTTGTTGATAATAAGAAGGATTAACAGTATATCGTACTGGAGAATTAGATTCATGTAATGATGGATGTTGTCTTGTTAAAGCAGCATCCCTTGGATCAATCACAGAAAAATGATTATAACCCGTATAATAATGTAATACACGTGGTTCTTCTTTTTGTTCAAATGTTCGTTCAGTTGGATTTAATCGAGTTGGCCGATAAATTCCACGTTGAACATAATCATTAGTAGATTCATGATTATAATTCATTAGAGTTGTTCCTGTTCGATGCCAATGTGGTGGTTCATAAGGATATGATGATATCGGTGGTTGATAATACCATGGTTGTGCTGGAATTGATGTTGTTGATGGTGATGTTAAAAGACCAGGACTTCGATATAGAATTGATGATTGATGTTGTGGTTGTTGTTGTTGTTGTTGTTGTTGTTGAATAGCAGGATTTATCTGTTGATTATTTATTACAGATGGATAAGGTGCAAGCATTTGATGATTAGGATTAGGTATATAGTCAGTATTAGAAACATTATTAACTGGTCTTGTTGGATAAAACATTTCTGGATAATCATAAGGTTTTTTTCGCTTTTTCTTATTTCGTTTAACACCAACTGATGTCGATGGATTAAATTGTGTTGGATAATCATTTATATCAGAAAACATGTCAATAACAGTATCATTTTCAACAGTTCTTCAAAAATAAAGACAAAAAATATTTTATTTAAAGTTCTACTCATGCGAAAAAAAATCATTTTAACGGCAACTTTTAGGAAAAAAATACTGTTTGTTTGTGTTTAGACGCATCGGTTTTTGTTTATTTACAACGCATCTTTCCGTCTGAAAACACCATCCTAGCAAATATACTGAGCCCAAAGTACCCTGCTAAGAATTGTCTCCGTACATAGGTGCTGACCGAGTACTTGCTCGAGTATTTGTCCAGTTTCTATAAAACTGTATAGAAAATTCTTGAACCAGTTTGCCGATTGAACACTTAGAAGCCTGCTGGAGTCGAGTGTTAAAAGCTCAAAAGTACCCTATGGTATTGAAATAATCAAAAGTTCATGTTTTATACAAGTAACAGGATACTTTGAACTTAATACATTCACTAGGATATTTAAAAACACTGTTTGAACGTATTCATGAGTGAATGGGTTTTCTTTTTACTAGAAAAAAAAAACGAATTTTTCAGAAACGCATCAGAACACAGTTTTTATAACAGTGTTCGACATGGGTAAAATTTTTGTGATCCGATCCGAGTCAGACTCTGATATCGATGACTTTTCTCTTTCTCTTGAGAAAATAAATTTCTCAATCCTTTCCTTTTGTAATTGGAAACAAAGGATATGTTCTTGAGCATGTCGTCAATATTCTACAGTTGAAATAATACGATTATGTGATAGAATCCTCTCGTATGTATACACTTAAGTTCTTTATATCACCATTGATGAGTCAATGCACTTGCTCTACATTGTTGTCCGATGTTAATAAAGACAAGTCGGTGAGGTAGAAGAAAAGTTCGTGTGATGCATAATAGAATATATTTAGAATATGAGGAAAAAAAGAAATTGTCATATAACAAACATGGAAAACATAAATGAATAAAATACTATCTTCAGCAAGTTAAAAAAGTTATGGATAACATGATACTAAAATCAGACTTGTATTAAATTTTTTTCATTCATTCAGTATTTTTTTAAATTCTTAATAGAATTTCGAGTAATTTATAGTAAGAATATTACATTCATTGATCATATTTTCAATTCATTCAAAGAAATTATTTTTGAAGAGAAAAAAGTAGCTGATATTTGTGTATTACTATCACAATATGTTACTTAAATTTTATCTCAACTTCTTTTTTTTATTACTGAATTCTTGTCAAGGCTACCAAGAATTTTGAATTGGTTTCTTCTCAAAAAAAAAAACTCAAATATTTTTATAACTTATTTATCCAACGAATAAAGCTCTTCAATATGTATAGTTTTTCGTTCTCTTCAAACATCATTTACAAGTAATATCGATAACAACCGCAATACATTTTTATTGTTCCTTTTCTTTTTTATGTTTCTTTATATCTCTAACTATGTTCTGTTTCTTTCAACAATTTTATTGATTGTATTGTAAAAGAATTCATGTATATTTCTCCTTTCTATTTATATCTTCGACAAACATAATGAATTTAAGTCAAAAGAACACTAAACAGACCTATGGAGTATTTTTATTGGATAAATATTCTTTACAGAAATTTCTATTTTTAAATTAAAAAATTCTTTTTTAATAAATATCAGTCGTTGTTTTACATATTTTCAAAATTATCTATCTGATTGATAGTACTTATAGAGATAAACGATACATACACATATATTGCAGAAATGTTGAATTTCATCCAAGAAAAATTTAGATATGTAAATAGAAAAAAAAACAAGAATTAATAGAAAATACATTATATTACAATTTGTATTTTTAGTTATAAATATCAAATTATATATATCCTTAGATGAAGATCTGACGAATTGAAGCAAATTAACATGAAGATATATTTGAGTTTCTGTCTTAGAGAATTATGTTTGAATTATCTAATTCCATTGATTGCAATGATAATTATATAGATTGCTCCGATTCATATTTTTGGAATGTTAACAAAAGTCATATTATTTTATCATGTGTACATAATTCTATTGCATGTTTCGCAGTAACTTCTTTACTTTCAGAAGCAACATATCATATAGTCAGTAGAAGAAAAGTCGAATTATAGTTAACACACTCAAATAGTTCATCATGACCTAACAAAAAGTAAAATATAAAGCAATAGAAGAATCATTTGTATGTCAACTATACTTCGAATTTTGTAATACTGACTATGATATATTTTTCTCGAAATGTTTAGCATTTTGAGTAACGAATTTACGAAGAAACATGTAATAGAATGATGTATTTATAATAACATAACTAATATGAATAGACGAAGAGGGAAAGAAAACTTTTCTCGAGAAAAATGTGTTTTTATACGAATAAAACATTTCGTATGGAATATGTTCTTGATCGATTTGTTTGGATTTCTAATGTAAAGAAAAACGCGTTCGAGCATAGTTTTTTTTTATTGCAAATGTGGTTTTTTTTTGTGGAGCGTAAGTAGAAAAAAAGAAAACATTCAACATACTTTATTGGTTTTTTTAAAAGAATATCATAGATTGTTAAAAGAATAGCACCAATAATCGAAAGAATAACAGCAGCAAGATTAACATAAAAACACCAATCAAGACCACGTGGTATTGGTGCTACATCAAAGACAGAAAAACCAAAAACAAATAATGCCGATATACCAACACATGCTATTTAGAAAAGAGAAAAGAATAATCCAAAGAAAAACAAATTTCTAATCAATATTTAAATATAATTACCTGCTGGCCAAATACAAAATACAGCTAAAATAGCTAAATAGTAATGAATACTCTTTCGAAATCCATAACAAATAATAGAAATTAAAGCAATTATTAATGATGATGTTGTTAAAAATAAAAAAACAATTTCAAGTGCTTGCCATGCATTAATACCGACTATTAAATAAGAATACAAAAAAAAACCAAATTCAATTATTAAAATTCAATTGACTTTTTTTAACCTTTAGCTTGATCAAGACGTTTTTCAATATTCGAACTATAAGATGAATCAATTGAAAACCAACTGCCACATGTGCTATTAGGAAACAAACTACTTGGAGAAAAACATAAACGCCAAAGACCATATTGATTTAAAGATGTGTCATTAACATTAGGAGTTGTAATATTAAAACTATCATGAAACCATGAATGTTCAACAGCAAAGACAATAATCAAAGCTGCAACACTTAGTGTAATTGAAACAGTAGCTAAAACAAGTAGCCAAATGATTTTTGAACGCTAAACAAAAATAGAAATAAGAAAAAAAAAGAAAAATTAATTTAATAATAATAATAATAATAAATTCTTGCCATAAACGTATATCTTTTCATGAATCCTGTAGCAGTTAAACTCAAAAAACAAAAAATCAAAATCAAATTTCAACTTTTTTTTTTCTTGCTCTCTCATGAAAAGTCATTGGAATGAAAAATGATTGTTGACATAAATGTAATTCATATAATGCAAATAAAAAAAAGCACAAAATTACAAGGATTTTTTTGCTTTTCATTACCTGATCGGGAGTATAACTTTGATATTTTACAGTTGAAGGCCAGTTATTCGTAGATGAAGGTTGATTATTATTGAACATGGTTCGAAGAAGAACAGATTTATTCTTTCATAAATTATGGATAATAATCGAATTCTTGTATTTGATTAAGAAAACAAATGTTAAACGATTTCCTTGAATATTTTTGTTTCAAAATGGCACGCATTGACTTTCTATTTGCCTTTTATTCCTAAATGAAACATTAAAATTGCTTTTCTCTTTAAAGACACGGGAGTAGCCTCGTACAAATATAAAAATCCGATCGCTTCCTAATGAAAAAAAAAGAAAAAAAGTTTTTCTTTTCTCTTTTTTTCTTATATACAATAACGTATATAAGTATGTTTGCTAACTGTTTTTTTCCTGTAGATACACACACAATTTTGTTATTTAGTCATTTTAACGATTGATTAAATACTCTATAGCTTAAATAAAGCACAGAATATGTATATATTTAACTAATAGAAGGACACTTGAATCAATAACAATTGCAAATTTTTATTGTATTACATTCTTCAAATCGTAATCATCATCATATGCATAATTTTTCACTTATCGATTGTTTTATTTTTTGTTTGATGTAATTGAAAACAAAAAGTAATCGAAGATTTTTTATTTACTCCTGAATAATAATAAAATAGAACAAGAGAAATAATAATACAGAAAAAAAGTATATTTATTTTCTAAAGGTTTATTGTCATGTTTCTAATTCATAAAAAGGGAACATTCCCTTTATCAATAATTTCATAGAATCAATCCAAATGTTACTATTTCTAATCATCATCAATATCTGTTTAATTCATGAATCTGTACATGAACGAATAGAAGAAGAAGGTTTACGTTATATAGTTAGTTTATCTGAACCATTAGAAAGTACACTTAAATGGGATTATAATGATAATAATGAAACAGAACTTATTTTTCGATGGAATATTACATTAATAAATGGTTATAATGGTTTACTTGCATTTTTAAATCATGATTTAGATACATATAGTTTAGATGTAATTATATATGGTAATGATGATCAAGTTTATAATGGGTATACAGATGAAGAAAGTTTATTATTTATACCAAAGAATGGTGTTGAATTAAAATATCGCATAGAAAATAAAGAAAGTATTGAAAATGGGAAAAAAAAACATAAGATAACAATACGAATTAAACGACCATTCGATACATGTGATGAAGAACAATGAAATTATATTATTGATCATGGAACAATTCATTTATTAACTGATTTACTAACACCTAAAGATTTTCAAAAAATTAAACATCAAAATAAAGTCAAAGTCGATATCAAACGTATGAATTTAACATTACAACGTGTTCAATTACTTAAAAGTCAAGTAAGTTTATAGACAAGGAATTTCTTTTTTGTAATAAATTTATGCAAATATAAGTTGCTTTCCTGTCAGCTCTTGATGATGCTCCACATCTTGATTATTTAAATCAAAATGTTCTAATACCTGATAATGAAACAACATATTGATGTACACGTTTTGAATTACCATCATTTATCATGGAACGACCTCATCATGATCATACGATTCGATGGTATTATATTACCATAAAGTGAAGGTATAGTACATCATATGAAATTATTTCATTGTGATGTTGATCCTGATATGCAAATTCCAGCATATAATGATCGATGTACAAGTGAAGAAAAACCAATGGGTTTAACATCTTGTCGTCGTGTTATTGGAACTTAGGCATATGGTGCAACAAATTTTTTTTATCATGAAGTAACTGGAGGTATCATTGGTGGTCCAAAAACACCTCAGTTTCTTGTACTTGAAGTACATTTTAATAATCCTTATTTTGAAAAAAGGTATAATTGATCAATCAGATATACGAATTTATTATACTACAAAATTAAGAAACTATGATGCCGGTATTATGGAAGTTGGACTTGAATACAATCCAAAAAATTCTATTCCGCCAGGATCTACTGCATTCCGTGTTTCTGGTTATTGTGATAGTGAATGTACTCAAATAGGTTTACCATCAAAAAGTATTATCATATTCGCATCTCAACTTCATACACATCTTAATGGTATACAAATATTTACTCGTATATTAAAATGAGATGGTCGAATTATAACACTTAATATTGATCGACATTATAGTTCTCATTTTCAAGAAATTCGTTTTTTATTAAAACTAATTAAAATTGAACAAGATGATACAATTATTCATACATGTATTTATAATACAGAAATTCGAACAAATGTGACATTTGGTGGATATAGTATTAATGATGAGATGTGTATTAATTATATGCATTATTATCTACGAAGTAATCTTGAATTATTTTTCAAATCATGAAAAAGTAAATATTAGTTAAATAATAAAAGAAAAGAAAAAGAAAAAAAGAGTGTATTTATTTTATTTAGATATTTTCATGCTAAAACAAGTATTGATCAAATAATTTATGAAAATTATAAATCAATTCATTGGACTCCAATAACATCATCTATACTTCAAATATTTTATGAAGAAGCACCTATTCATCTTTCGTGTAATGGTTCTGATGGAAATTACTTACCTAAATATAATTGGCAAAATGATTATTTTTCTCAAGGACCTAAACAACTTGACGTACCACTCGATAAAGCACAGTGCAAATGAGCTCATAATGATGAATATTGATATAGTATATATAAACTACATCTCTTTTTTTTTCTTTCTGGCTACGTTAAATGCTACTTACTTATTCAAATCTTTGAATAAAATGACAAACATTAAGCATAGATGAACTGCGTAAATTGAGTCGGAGCTGTCAATTTAAAAAGAATGAAAAGAATAAAGTTTAAATATAGTTGCCAACTTGTTTTTTGGTCACTATCGATTATTGTAAATACTAGCAGCCATTCTCTTCTTCTTATTCTTTTTTTTTTCTTTTAAATTTGTCTTGAGGTACTAGTCTTTGCAAACGATTAAATCTTTTTCTTTTTGACCAATCTTATTGAGCTTCTTTTTCTTTTTTCTTTTTTTATAATTGTGTCAATAGACAAGAACAAGAACAAACGAACTATTTCTTATATTATCAAACATATACACTTCATTTGTTGATCTAGAAGCAACGAAAAAATACATAAGACATGGATGATGCAATTGAATTTTTGAGATAGTTGACGTTACAAAAGAGTTTCAGATCAAATGGTACATTTTATATATTTGTATATTGCAATAATACACTTGACCGAATATGTTTTAACACTTAAGAAATTATATCTTTCACCTATAAACAAAATTGCGTAAAACAAAAAAGAAAAAAAAGAAACACTTTTACTCAAGTGTCAAATTTCAAGTAGTATGAAATAGTAAAAATTCTGACTTTAAAAAGAAAAAGCAACGTTTACTTTTCAATAATAGAAATGACTAATTTCATATTCAATCATGTAAAATTTATGCAATCAATAATTTCTATAAATTGAAACTATTTTATATGTAAATTCTACAAAAACAAATCAGATGAATCATTTCAATATTAGAGATTGATAGATCTGATATTATTTCATAGATTCGATAGAACATTTGATTTTATTTAAAGGCACGATTGGTATGAGTACAATAGATACATTTTTTGGTAATTTCATATCTAGTATATTATAATTCAAATTGACAAGAATTATTTTGATCGACATTTTATTCAAAATTTGTAATTGAATTTTTCAAATCTTTTATTCAAATTTGGTAGAATCTCATATGATATAATACGTTAAAAAAAATACAAATGAAATATATGAAGATGTTCTTATTAAATTAATCTGTTTTCTTTAATCAACAAAATAAAAAGAACAAATACTTCTATACAATATGCATTGTCCTCATTCATACTAACACTTATCGTCTGTCATTTATTCTATGTCAATCAATCAAGTAGTGGTAAACATTCCGTCTAGAAGCACCCTCTGTTTGTTTGTTCCTTTCTAACCAATGTCAATTCTTCATCTTCCTTTGTGCGATTCTCTAGGCCTCCTTATTGATGTCCATACTTTTACCGGATGCATGATCACATTCGTGACATGAAATGATATAGGTATATTATGGATCGATTGATTAACTAACTTTGGTTCTTCTAAGGTTAGTCTTACTTTACAGTATTGACAAATATTGTAATTGTTAATCCATATAGTAATCTTTACATTATTCTTCAATGCATTTTCTTTTGTCAAATAATTTTAACCAAATCTTTAATTGATACTATTAATATTATGAATTTTACTTTAACATACTGGTAATTTAATATAGAAAAGTAAATATAATAAATGGAAACATAAAAATGAATTGTATCATATTTTATTAAATAAATTAATCTAGTCATAATGGGTACTCTTCTTGGTCATATTGTACCAGGTACATTTTTTACAATATTTGCCATATGGTGGGGTTTTAGTATTGCAATAAAATATTATTATTTATATTATCGAAAAAACAACACACAAAAGTCAAATATATATTATTCAACAACAACATTTCCTTGTTTATGTTTATTCTCATTTCAAAAAAATCCAATTGAATCTTATATAAAAATTTGTTGTGTTATTATTGGTATGACAGGAGAATTTTTAACTGGTTTTACACATTTATATAATGAAAAATTACAAAGAAAAACATGGTTGTTTAGTGAAAATAATATGCAACATATAACTATGTTTTTTGGATTTTCTTTAGGTTCTATTTTTGAAATACTTATTCATTATAAATATGCATTACCAGATGGAATTGAATTTCTAGCTAATATTTTAGCATTTTGTATTGAAGGTTTTTTATTTCATTTTCATCTTCATGAAAGAAATGAAATTGATATTCATGTTCATTTATTATTACTTTATGCTATTATATTTTGTATTATTGCTGCAATATGGGAATATAATAGACCAAATCAAATATTAGCAACTTATGCAAGAATTGCTGGAACATTATTACAAGGATTTTGGTAAGAATATTTATGATAAATAATTACTTTTGAGATGAGACACGATGTGAATTATGTAGATCCAAATGAGCTCTGAATATTCTGAAAAGACTTCGTGCCTTTAGATTATTGTGACTACAGTTTTACGGTATTTTATTAAATCAATACTATAGTCTTCCTGAAGAACACTAGAAAAATTAATTTTCGAATTTCGATTTGAAAATTTCTATAGAGACAGATTTTAATGAGAATAGATTTTTTTTGTAAATGTTTGAGATCTTGTTGCTATTATTATCTTCAGCATTCAAATCAAAAGATCTGAAATTTGCACAGTAGACTACTCTCTTTAAGGCTTGTCTCTAGACAAAGTTTTAAGTCGAAATTTGAAAAAAACAGTTTTTTTGGTGTTTCTGAGGAAACTTCAGCATTTATATAGAAAATACAGTATTTCCTTAACAATAATCTAACGAGGGAACCTCTCTAGGTGCTAAAAACTTTTGTACGATAATTTTGCTCGTAGATAAGAAATGTATAGACTAGAACAGTCCTAAGAGGATATGAACGTAAGTTGCAGTTTGGCTAAGATGTCGACATTTTACTGGAATCTTCTTATAGGATTCGACTTTTTCGATAAAGTAAAAGTTTCGAATTTTGATCTGAAACTTTATATACATCGAGGTCTCAATCAAACTAGCTTGTCTACAAAGTTTCAGAATTTCTGGATGAATTATCTCTGAAATGTAGATTTCCCAAAATAGTCGTGCATAATAGAATATCTATAAAAAAAAAACGTCTAAAAGCTAACATACTGGTATCTCGGAGATAATTCATCCAGAAATTCTGAAACTTTGTAGACAAGCTAGTCTGACTGAGTCCTCGATGTATATAAAGTTTCAGGTCAAAACTCGAAACTTTGATTTTATCAAAAAAGTCGAGTCCTATAAGGAGATTCTAGTAAAATGTCGTGGCAACTTACGCCCACTTCCTCTTAGGGCTTTTCTAATCTATACATCCCCTACCTATGGACAACATTTCAGCTCAAAAGCTTTTTAGCACCAGGAGAGATTTCCTTGTGACAGAGTTGGAAGTTGTAGTAAATATATGCATGACTTAGTATCAATCATCTTGCCGCTTGCTTACCCTGAAAAACACCAGTAGTTATTTTTTATGAGTAAATACTCGAAGTGAGAGTGTAAATCTTACGAGAGAACATATTCAATTGTCGAATGTCATTCAACTTTAAATTATGGTTAAGAATAGATCAACATGAGGTTCCAAAGAATTCGGATCCATGTCTATCTTAATGTAACAGATTTAATAATCATTAGATACTACTAAAAATTTCAATGACAATGCACGTGTCTTGCTCTAGATATTCAATTTCTAATTACTGTACCATTCTATGGTAAACCGCTAACTTTTTTTTCTCGAAACTGTGTGTCTCAAGAAAGACATGATTGTTTTTCGTTGAAACTTTTAGAAATATCCAATGACTATATAAAAAATAAAATTGTTAGTGTGATTCATGCGAAATTAAAATGTTCACTTTTACTCAATCGTCTAGAAATGTAATAAGGAAAAAGTTCATTATATTTTAAACTAACTTTTTTGTTTTCTTCCATTAAGGTTTTATGCAATTGGTTTTATTCTTTATTTTCCATCAAATGATCCCTATTGGATATGGTTACCTAGTCATGAACATATATTATTAATAACTGTTATCTTTGTTTGGATTGTTCTTATGACATGTATTGTTTTATTTCTTCAATCAATTCTTGTTTGGTATATTTTAAAACGAAGATATTCTCATTATGATAATGAAGAAATGATTCCAAATTCTATTATTCATATAAGTGACAATGAAGATAGTGATGATAACAACAGTCAAATTCAATTTTCACAACGAAACGAACAGTATTACAATGAAACCTATGCCTAATTTACATCAATGTCTAATTTTTCATTCTATGCACATCTAGTGTTTGTTTTTAGTATTCAGATATTTTATAAAACACGATCTACAAGGAATGTTGAAGTATATAAGGTAGAAATTCGCATACATCTTCCAGCTCTTCTACAGATCATGACAGATATTGTTGATATACGATCTGAGATAATATATCAATAACAACTTGTTATAATATATGAATTACTTCCTTCTTGCATTTCTTGAGGATAAAGTAAAAGGATGATGAAGAAATGTGTTGCAAACTAGATAGAATAAAATAATCTCGTTGTGATTAACAAGAGTAATTAATGCTTATTACAAGAAAAAAATAGGCGAGTGTGAGTTTTTGAAATAACTTTTGATAGGCACAAGATAGAAAGCTACAGTTTTCAACTTTAGACATAAGAGATAAAGACGTATCGAATCGTATATTACAATTTTTTTTTATCTGTTTTTCTTAAGATTTTCAATTATCAGCTGTGCATTTGAACCTTAGATGGAAAATCTACAAAATTACGCAAGCCTCAAATTTTTAGATTTAATTGTTCAGGAGTCATAGATATCCTAGTCAAAATTCTGGGCCAATTTTTCAAGCGATTCTTGTGAAAAAAATCCCATTTTTTGCTTTTTATGTTAAACGGAACCACTTTTCCGACACAAATTTGATTAAAAAACTTCAGAAAACATTTTTGGAGAATTTATAATATATGATTCGGTGCAATTTTATCTCCTCTTTCCAATGATGAAAACCGCAGTGCTCTATCTTGTTTCTATCAAAAATTATACGGAAAATACTCATCCACCTTTTTTTTTTTTGAAATGAACATTCGATAGTGTTTCACATTTTATTTCAGCAGGAATTGTACCAACAGGTCGTTTTTTTTATTTGTGTTCAGATTGATATTAAAATAATCTTAAGTGCCTTTTGTTTTGTTTTAATCAGATGTTTTGCATTTATGTTCTTTAAATTTATATATAAATAAAATATGAATGAAATATTTTAGATACAAAATATTAAAGAAAAAAAAAACCTATGTTTTTAAAGCCATATCAATATGGAAATAAAACAAAATATGTATATGATTTATTTAAACGAAATTATAATTTAAAAAAATTGACTATTCAAATGGAAAAAAATCCACATATGAAAAATATTGTAGAAGAACAATTAAAGAAAAAAGAATCTCAAGGAATATTAAAACGATTAATTGATAAACGGTAGTGATATACGATACAAAAAATACATACATACATAATAGATATTAGTTCAAATAACATTAGATATTGTGCAAAAACAACTAATTGAATGGAGTATATTTTTAATATGAAGAACTCAATAGTGTTTTATAAACTTCGACCCAATTTTTGTATCTTAGACGCATTTCCAACAGATCAAAGAAAATAACAGATTATTAAAAATATCGAAAAAGTTTTTCATGGATGGTAGATCGAACTGGGACCTATGTACGATGAAAATTTTAGAGTATTTATATTTGTTTGCATAGAGATATGCGACTCACCAAAGACAAAAAAATGAAATTCCCTAACGTTCGGTTATGTCGCAGGAATAACTCTGATCAAATTTTTTCGATATTTTTACCAATCTAGTATTTTATTTGAGTTGATGCAAATTGAGGTCAATTTCTCTTGAATAATACCTTATATGCTATTCTTCAAATGTGGCCAAGATACAAAAAATAAAAATGAGGTCGAAACTTATGAAACATCATTTATTAAAAATATGATTTGAAATATTCATTGTTCACTCAAACTAAGAATAAAAGATATATTCCAGTGAAAGAAACGTAAACTATTCAGATTCATCGACTAGTTTGTTCGCACTGTTGCAGTTCTCATAAGAACTAACAGTATAATGTACATTATACCGAGTGATCTATCGATAGGTTTTATCCGATTCGAATTATATGGAGAATACTTATAACTATACAAAATGTATAGATTAAATTATAAATATCTAATGTTATTTAGATTGTTTAATTGATATAGTTTTTGAGACATTTTCCTAATAGTTTTCATTAAAATTTTTGGAGAGTCTATATTTTGGAAAACCAAAATTTCTGAAAATCACATTTCTTAATTCGACCGAAAACATTTTGTCCATATGTTTATCTAATAATGCAAAGATTTTTGAGCTAATTGAAATATTTCCGAGCTTTTCATGACCTTTGTTTATCAAACTACAGTTAATTTCCGAAAGATACTGTTTTTTATGCTTCAAGACTTTCATAGTTCCAGTGCACTTCAGTAAAGTAAGGCCATGAAAAGCTCATAAATATTTCAATTAGCTGAAAAATTTTCATAATCCATAATAACCTTATTTACAAAATGTTTCCAATCGAATAAAAAAAAAGATGATCTTGAGAGATGCTGGTTTTTCAAAGGACAAGCCTTCTAAAAATTTTAACACCAATTCGAAAGAAAATTCTCTTAGCTGTTCTGACCTTTTTTCCCATTCGTTAAGAAGATAGGTCAAAAATGCAAAGTACAGTAAACATTTTACTCCCACTCTACAGCTTATAGAGTCTATTGAAGAGACTTTAAAAAAAAATATTCAATTGGAGTGCAAAATGTATAGTTTGAGAGTATCGTTTTACTATGAAGTATGATACTTTAAATGAGCTGTATATTGCTGTCTTCATTAAAGATAAGAAACTACTTTCTTTGTAAATCTATTGCATTTTATGTTTAAATATAAAATAATTTGAATAGTTTCCATTTTTAGTACAAGTGAATACAAAGAATATTTTTCTCATTCTGTAAGTACTCATACATTTTAACACAAAAGTATACTATAAATGGATAACATAGTCTGATCCATCAGTGATTAAACGATCAAAACATATATCATATGATCATATTGGACAAAAACGTGCAATACATTTAAGTAAAATCTTACGAGCATTTGTTGCTGATCGTATTGGTTCAGGTGAAATTGGTGATATATTAGCTGGAAAGAATTTTCAATTAACAAATGTGAGTCATTTTAACAAAATATAAATTCATACAATTTTCTTTTTTTTTTATTAATTAACAATTTATTTAGATTATTGTTCCAGTTGATTTAAATCGTATTGAAATTTTATGGTGGTCACCTGAACAAGAAGCAAATATTATTGAAGATCTATTAAAAACGGCTGGTGAAGATTTAAGGTAACTCTATTCAATACATCATGAAATTTTTATATGTGATATTAATTTAGAACGGCTATTCGTCATGCACAATTATTACCTAGTTCACCACCAGTCATTTTTAAACGAGATAATTTACGTGTTGAACGTGATCAAATTAATTATTTACTTGATACAGCTGATAAAGGATCATCAGATGAGACTTCAATTAGTAGTAATTCTATAAAACGTAATGATTTATATGATAGTGATCGTACAATTATTCTACGAAAATTATCTAATCAAACTTCAATTGATGAAGATAATAATAATGATGTACAAACTGATATAAGTCAATTAACACCTGAACAAATGCAACGACGTATGAAAGCATTTGCATTAACAAAAAGAATGAAACGTGTACAAGAACAACGAAGTGCTATGTATGGTATAATGGCTATTGAAAAAGAAAGACAAAATGAAGAACATTTTTCATTAAATCAAACTACAGATGTTGAATTTGAACAGCAGACAAACGAGAAGAAATCAGAATAAAAACGAATATGTTAATCAAGCATTGTCTGTAATGATTATCGATTTTATTTATCTAATAAATAAATACCTTCATCCCATGTGCAATTAAGTTTACACATGTCGGATAATAATCTTTACATTATCGATTCGTTTTTTTTAAATTCAGATTAGTTCAAATAAATGACATAATCCGAGAGAATTCAATACCTTATAGAAATATTAAAGTACATCTAAAAAATTTGAATATTCTACAAGTATTTATGTGAAGTTTACAAGACACTGACATCTGCTTAGAATTTTGTTTTTCTAATAGCATAACTCACTCAAAAATTTATTCATCGGCTATGAATGATTGTATCTTTAATTTGATTATTTCAATATTATGTATATTTCAAAAAAAAAAGATTCATTATTTTATAATAAAACATTTTTAGATTTCAATTATTATTGTTCAAAATAATAGTTTGATGCAGAGTTGGAACCGGACAGGTTTTTTGTATCCGGTCCGGTCCGGCCAGTAGAAAAACCTGTCCGGTCCGGTCCGGTCGGAATCCGGCCAGTTCATTTTCGAAGTCAAACTGGCAAAAATCCGGCAAAAATTGGAACTTAAAAGAAGCTTGTTTACGAAAAATAGTAAGTGAAGTAAAATTTTCGATATTTACATGTGGATATTTGAAGTAGACCGTCTGAATATATATTAAAAAAACAGCTTCCTTGTATCAGATTCCAAGATATCGACTTTTCAAGCTGACAATGAATAGAGATGAGTCGATTATATCGAATATCGACTACTCATCGTTATTTAAAAACAAAAAATCAAGCTCAGTAATAACTATCGTGAATGACGCATATTTTTCTCTTTTTCTACTAAGAATCGTTCAAGAAGATCAAGGCAGAAGAACTGCTTGATTTTGTGGTGGATATGATGGTCGTCAGAGAGAAGTAGCAAATAGAATAGAACCTATACCTCTAGGTTATAGTTTCCCATGTGAAGCTTTTGTCATGATTCGGTGTTCTTGCCAATGGAATCTGACTGAAGTTTTTGAGTCGGTCTCTTTGTGTTTCGAGCACAACTGGCAGTTGTTGTCGCAGAACTCCAGCGACTTCAACTAGCAATCCAATTGCAAAATACATCGGAACATAATGAAACCTGTCGATTCTGATGGTTTTCGACCACTTTCTTATAGATCTAGCAGCCGGAATAGTTGACGTAGGATTTCTCGCTTTCATGTCTTAAACTTTCCGTCTTTTCCTAATTACCACAATCATTGCACCGATCGGCTATTGCTCTAGCAACTGCAATCGTTCCATAAGAGAGAAGCAGTTCTCTTGCTTCTTTCTGTCTATTTCTCATTTTGAGTACTATTCTATTCATCTTTTTAGTTGAAAATGTAGAAAAAACTCGTTCTTCGGTGAAAAATCATCAATACGAGCAACCATTTTGCAATGATGAACTGGCAAAAATCCGGTTTTGTCCGGCCGGATTTGATTTCTCGTCCGGTCCGATCCGGTCTTGTCCGGTCCGGCCGGACCGGAGCCGGATTGCCGGACCGGTTCCAACTCTGGTTTGATGTACTTTCTCTTGATTATTATGGCATCTAGAGAGTGTTTTTCTCTGCTGATCAGCCTCCATATTAGTTTTGAAATAGTTATTTTCATAAAAGAATTCATGACAAAAAAAATCACTTTCATCAGTGACATTCTTTTGTGTCGTATTGTTAACATATTCGATTCATTCATATGAACATCATCGATCTATTTTGTTTTTTACAAAGATATTAACACATTCACGGCAATTGGATTTTGTTAAAAAATAGCTTTGACAGATTCATTGTCGTGTACATTTCCCTTTTGATGAACGCACTTATTGGTCTGTCTAATATATACTGCCAGTTCTTTTGCTTTTTTTGTTTATATTATTGCATAGGCGATCCTTTTTCAGGTCGAACAAAAATGATTACTCAAGTTTGCTTTCCTCTCTCTTATATATCGCGCAGTAGGAACGAGATAAAAAAAATAATTTCGATTTTTTTTCTTTTGCATTCTTGTTGTAGCGTTATCTTTTATTCTTTTCTCTCGAGTTTATAAAAACAAATGAAATTTGGCGATGAATTATGTTACAGTGTGAGTCATTTGTATCTTTTCTTCTTTATGATCGTACAGATGATGTGTACGATATATATATAATTATATCTTTTTTTCCTTTCAATTAGATATATTCCACACATTCTTTCTTTTCATATTGTTCAGGGATATTTCCACTCGTTTATGGTTATTTCCAACTGTCGTTGATTATTTCCTAGTTCTTTGCGCGTACATATTCTGTGATCGATTAGAAAATAGATCAAAGAGATAAATACAATCGATTAGATCGTTTTCACTCGTTAATAAATTATATGTCGTTTGAAGAAACTGATACAGACGATAGCGGTAACTCACTGAGTAGTGTGAGTGGTTTGAAAGATGATTTTGCTAGAATGCAGTTTGAATCTTCAAGCTCTGAAGAAGAAATTGCTGATGATGACGTGGATTTATAAGTCTGGAACGAAACTGAACCAGAATTGGATGCTGAAGTCCAGGAGGACTATGGGATCGTGAAAGAAATAACGTCAGTTTCAAAAGATAATACAATCAATCCCATTTATTGCTATCGACATTTCATCACTGACGAAATTATTAGTCTCATGGTTCGCGAAACAAATCGATATGCATAGCAATACTTACGAACTCGGAAGCTTAGTAGTCGATCAAAAATCCGTCAATGAGAACCAACTAATAATGAGGAAATACTTAATTTTTTTTAGGACTTATCATCGAGATGGAGTTGATACAAATGCCGGAAATGGACTACTACTGGAGCAAAAGCAAATTATATAGATCTGAAATCATTCAGAATACAATGCCGATAGACAAATTTGAATTGCTTCTCAAAATTTTCCATTTTTCGAACAATGTAGAGGAGCATACAGATCAAAATAGACTATTCAAATTGAAACCAGTTTTAGATCTTCTGAAAGTCAGATTTAAATCGGTTTACACCCCGGGCTCAATGATTACTATCGATGAAACGATGGTACTATGGCGAGGAAGGCTTTTGTTCAAACATTATATTCCTGGAAGAGCGCACAAATACAGCGTAAAGATATACAAGTTAGCGGATAGAAATGGATACATTTGGAATGTCACCATTCATAGCGGAGAGCAGGATCCGATGACTGGCCTTGGGCATTCTCAAACAGTCGTCATAGATTTATCAGAAGATCTTTTGGAATGTTATCGAATTGAAGTAGCTGACAACTTCTTTATGACTATTTCTCTTCCAAAGCGTTTATTACGAACTGATACATATCTTATTGAAACATTGAGAAGTAATCGTGCTCGATAAGGAAATAAAGTTGTTCAGAAAAAGCTCAAGCGCGGTGAAGTTTATGGGCTTCAGACCAAAAATGGCATAAAATTGATCAAGTGGAAAGATAAACGAGATGTTTCGATGATATCTACAAAGCTATCTTATTCAGCAACTGTGGTAGACACTGAAAAAAACAATAAACTAAATCAACGCATCATGAAGTCACAAGTTGTTCTCGATTACAACGAAATGAGACACGGTAGTGATTTATCAGATCAACTATCAACATACTATACATGTCTCAGACGGTCAACGAAATGGTATAAAAAGGTGGCATTTGAATTGATATTTGGAACAGCAATAGTCAACGCCTATTTGATTTACAAGGAAAATTATGACACAAGCTATATGACGACGGTACAGTTTTATGAAAGTCTAGTACGGTCCTTACTCCTTAGTATGCCATTCGAGGAGCTGAAACCTGGTCTTGTACAACAATCAACAAGTCATCTGAAGCGCAAACTGGCTGATCCCAAGCTCGCAATGAAAAAAAGAACTACACGCAATATCCAAAAACATTGTGCTGGCTGTTATGAGAAAAACATGGAACAGCAATCAAGAGAAGCGTATCATGCAACAACAAAGAAAATAAAACCTTTCTGTTCTGATTGTAACAAATTCTTTTGTAAATTACGTGTGACCTCTTACCCAAAAAAAAAAGGAAAAAAAA